ATCAACAACACATTGACTGATAACCAGTAGCGGAAATTTTGAGTAGTTTGCTAAACTGTAAATACCACCTCTGACTGACCCCACCCCCATCTAGTCTCTGCCTACCGAGTCCCAGCTAATCAGGAAGAAATGGGGATTTTGCAGTAACCTTCCCCTGCCATGCCCCCAAGTCACGCCCACAGAACTGGTAGTAAAAAAAATTAAATCTCAACACTACTGTGCATCCCCTGATATCTGTTTTGTCTTTGTGGTAAACATTCTCTTATGCATTTATAGCTCCTGCTTTAAATTGCTGTAGCTTTCCATGTCCACTGATTCTAGTGATTTTTTTTCTTTTAGTCCAAGATAAGTCGTTTGCCTGCATACCTTACTATTCAAATGGTTCGATTTTTTTATAAAGAGAAAGAATCTGTGAATGCCAAAGTTCTCAAAGTAAGTATATTTGATATTAAGCTTTTCACTTGATCGATGTGGTGTAATGCTTTATTTTATACATTTAACAATCAAGATTTGATATTCAGCTGCAGCGTAATTTAAATTAAAACATGCTGATATACTTCTTTGTACTATGAAAGCAGAATCATCCAAATTGCATTGTATCAGCTTCATGGTTCTTTTGCTAAAGCATTCTAAAGATTATGTAGAATAAAGTGCATAGGATCCTGGAAAATATTACATAATTTGGGTTTTTATTTATTTTTTTTATTTCCTATTTATGGCTATGGAAAAGTAAGCACAGAGCTTATGTTTTACAGTTTAGGAGTCTATATAAATGGGAGTTGAGAAATTCCTGAGAGATAGTGCTAATGGTACAATTCTGAACTTGATGAATTCATGGTCAGATAAGAAATAGAGCAGTTTTCTATATTCCTGAGGCATTTAAAATGTTAAATACTGAGCCTTGGTGTACATACTTTGTTTAAAATCTTAGATTATTGCCAGTATTATTTTAAACTGAGTGGAATTAAGATCTAAGACAGCTGATTTGCTTCATATAATTTACATGATCATGAAACTCTTTTAAATTGCTGTAGGATGTTAAATTTCCACTTATGTTGGATGTATATGAACTATGTACACCAGGCCTTCAAGAAAAAATGGTTTCATATCGATCAAAATTCAAGGACCTGGAAGATAAAAAAGTAAACCAGCAACCAAATAATGTAAGTAGCCCATTAACTTTGATTAATCTTTACATTTCATTTAACAATATATGCATTTTCTTTTCAAGTAACCCTTAAATCAGGTCTAGTATTATCAAGCTTAAACTTATAACCAAACATCATTAAGAATACTGCTAATCATGTTTTTAATAATAATATTTGTAGTAAAAAGACTGATATGGAATGTGAAGAATTATCGTTGAGGTTTTTTTAAAGAATTCATGGTCTATTGCAGCTGCATTTTCATTTGTCAATTTTCTGAAGTTTATTGGATATATAATTATTTTTAATTTAACATTAATTGTTAAACTTAAAGAAACAGGGCAACCACCACCATTACCTGAGCCTTAAAATTTCAGCTTTTCATTTTATGAATCATTTCTGAATAATAACATTGAAATTGTCTTAGAATTTTGCTTATTTTTAATGCCATATTTTATAGTTACAAAATTAACTCAAACCAACATTTTCTGTTTTATTTTTCAAGTCTAGTAAAGGTGATGGCTCACAGAAGGAGATTAAGTATGAACCATTTTCTTTTTCTGAGGGTAAGTAGAAAGACATTTAAGAACAGCAGATATTTTTACTCTGCTTTATCTTAAAAATGGAAAGCAGATACATTATTTGGGAATACCAATTAGTGAATATCTGAAACTATGATTGTATGAGTTGTCTACAACGTACACTGAAAGGATTGTAACAGCCACTATGTAGGGCAGACAGGCGGAAAAGTAATGGAGTAATTCCATGACACACAAACTAATGGACAGTCAGAAGATACTATGAAAACTGCTTAATTTCACAACACATGGACAGATTCAATCAACATTTTAACTAAGAAACCATGAGCATCCTTGATCAAGCTAAATAATAATAATAAAAAAACACTAGGGAATTTCTGGAAGCTTGATACACCAACAAAGCAGTCATAAATAAACAGAGGTAATTCAGCAAGCTTTTAACTTCAAATTAATTTTGAATCTCAAAAATGACTAATACAAAATGATGGATTAAAATAAATGTACTGATTCTATTTTATAAAAATTCAGTGTTGAATAAAATTATTACATTAATTTTAATCTAGCTTGAAATGTTTGTATCTTAAATGTTTCAAAGTAATAATAATAATAATCTGTAGTCTGCTGCAGGTGATGGATCTGAAGAAAAAGTTACAAAAGTAGCAATGCTAGTATTTTGCCAATTCTATTCTATGCAGTTGTACAACTTTAAATGCCAAGCACTCTGATTAACTCTGTTATTGTACCTATAGGTGTGATACCTATAAATATCTATTATGGATTTATTTCAATGGCTTCTCTCACCTCTAGTGTCTAAGCAGTGAGATTTTGGGACTGCTTAGAGTTTTAAAAAACTCTAAAAGCATCCAGCAATCTTTTGAAAATTAAATGCACAGGTATGGTCTTCTGTTGTCCAGGTTTTTTATTATTATTGTTGTTGTTATTGTTGTTGTTGTTGTTATTG